CCCCAGTGGGCCTAGGCCTACCTCCATAAACTTCTCCGTTCACTTCGGCTTTTCTAGATCTTACACATGCGGTAGGACTCCTTGGGCGGGTGATCAGCTTGTCGCAAGGCCTCTACCTGTACACAAACACAGAAAAACGCACACACGCAAACTAAACATCCATGCCCTGAGTGGAATGCGAACCCACGATCCCGGTTTCCAAGCGAACGAAGAAAAGTACATGCCTTAGACCGCTCGGCTACCGTGACCGGCAGCTCCTTGTCATACGAGTACCTGTACATAATTAGAGTCTATGACATATGTTTGAGATTTTATGTTATGGTGGTTAATAAGAAGGGTATGTCTCCTGGAATTTGAAGTCGTGCAGTTTATAGTTTAATACCGACCTTTCTGAGAGACCTGCTATTTCCATGTTCAGGATAGGATAAGTAATAGCGAGTTTCTCCGAAACATGGACGCCTACCTACTAAGCTGCATATCGTCACATCTGAGAGCACAGTAATTGGTATACGTGTTAGCTGTTCGCCGCAGTATCCCTTATCACAATATTACAACAGACCAACATATTATAACACATATTTCTGATAATATACTCGTAAGTTCATCAGGTAAACAGAAGAAATTATAAAATAATACATTATTCTTCTGGCCCTTTGTTTCTGAGTTGTCTAGAAATTTTGCCATCGTCCTTCTGCACAGAAGATTACTAAAAACGTTTGAGCTCACATGTGATGTTCCAATTTGTCATGCTGAAGGCTAGAATATTAGACTTCCAGGAACATTTTGCCTAAGTTTCTAAGTTTATGACTCAGCGAGTAAGAATTACTGTAACCGAAACCCTTTGATCCTCACACAGTATCCCACAAGACCAGTTAATACACAAACTTCCCCATTTCGAGAGAACAATATTACATTTTACATACCTGAACCAACGTGTGGTAACATTATTAGGTAAACGAACTGATTTGTTTATTGAAATATCTGTTCTCGTTTCGTGAAATAAGTACTTCTTTCATTAATTAACTGTGAACAGCTATGCTTGTGTTTCTAAGACAGGCCACACAGTCTAAACAATTTGAAACCCTCTGAGTCTCTTATCTGATAGGTTTGCTACAAAGTTGAGTCTTCCACGAGCAAGTAATAGTTATAGTTTGTTGGTCGGCACAAGAACTATTTGGTTTCAATGGGGTCAGAAGGAACCATGGACTTTTTCATGAGCTATTTCACACATAATGTAATTCATTGCTAATCCCGTATTAACAGAAATAAGGTAAGGTAAATGTAAAATTTGCCGGTCACGGTATCCGAGCGGTCTAAGGCATGCACTGTCTTTGCTCGCTCGGAAGCCGGGATCGTGGGTTCGAATCCCACTCAGGGCATGGATGTTTGTGTGCGTTTTTCTGTGTTTGTCTACAGGTAGAGGCCTTGCGACGAGCTGATCACTCGCCCAAGGAGTCCTACCGAATGTGTAAGATCGAGAAAAACCGAAGTGAACGGAGTTCATGGAGGTAGGCCTAGGCCCACTGGGGCTGTAGTGCCAAGGAAAAAAAATGTAAAATTTCCGCTATACTTAATTAATGAATCACCTAACTATAAAGATATAGGGGGGGAATGGAGGCATAGCTTCACTGCTCTTAACCTCGGCCGGCTCTAAATGGAAAGGAGTGGTCAGATTTACTCCCCAGCAGCTTTACCGCCGGAAAGGAGTCCCTGGTACGCACTGGATAGTATATTGGGTGGACACCAGAGGCGTTCTGGGCGTTTTGGAGAAGAGAAAAATATCTTGCTTCTGCCAGGAATCGAAGGCCAATTCCTCGGCTGTCCAACGCTTTACCTCATTAACATAAGTATTAATTTCTTTTCGTTGTTCGCCTATTTGTTCTCTGAACAACCCTACAATTTGGTGGTAATTAAATGGTTTTCACTTCAGAATAACTGTACATAATGACTGGTAGCATTCGGTATAACCCTACTGTTCATACTTTTATAATTACAAAACAGCGTTGCCAGTAAAGGAAATGTGTAACAGTTCCTCGTTTCTGTTCGCCTTACGGAAAGGTCTGCCCTTTTTTTTTCTATCATATGATAGAGGACTTATTTACAGGTTGTAAAGTTTTCAAGAGCTAAGCTGTCCTGTAAGAGGCCATGAGGGCTCATAGGGCTGTGAGACGTCGTGACTCCCACATTTTCTAGACAATCGACACATAGATGGCCGTAAGGTTGTCAGTCCTACGCGCCGGCCTCACTTTACTCCCAGGAAGATCATTTCTTTAACAGGCTTAGTCGACTCAGAATCATAGTGCATCTAGAAGAATTAGGCAAATTGAAGAGATCCAGTGACCTCATCGGGAATCGAACCCGCGACATTCCGGTTTGGAGCATAGTACCTCTACCAACTGCGCTACCGCGTGCCCCCGAAGTTCCCTAGAAGTTATTATTAATACTGATCCAATCATTATATTACACGTATTTTTGTTTCCATGTAAGGAAGCGTTGAAGTCAGACGCGAAAGCAGTCATGACGACTGCCTCACTGCAGCACTGGAGATCTGGAGCCCTTATAGGTGGAGATATTACACGCATGCGTAACCTGTAAGACAATTCTCGGTTCTGCAAGCTTCCCTCCTCTGTATGATCCTAACGAGAGCGGAAAAGAATTTGGAAGACACGGGGTCATCTGTTCCTTCATGAAAGAAGAGGTATAAAATCCTAAAATAATGAGAAGAGCTCGGATGCCTAACTGTGGGTCTCTTTTAAAGGGGAAAAGCTTCACTGAGAGACTAGGTATTTGTATTGGTAAAACCATTAAGAAGTAATCGATCAAAAGGGGTAAACTGCGGGTCATAATTTCATTAACGTGAAGAAAAGGGTAAGCCCGGCTGATGTTCAAAGAAAAATGGAAAGAAGAAATGGCTTTCTAAACTCTCACTCAATACATCTCCGCTTGCTCTGAGTATTTCCTTCGTACTTAGTACGCAGGGAATCAAATGGTATTTCTGTCGTTAGACCTGGTGTCTTTAAGTTGAACTCCCATACTTCTTTTGGCTTGTTTTGGACTTCATCGATCGTCTGGTATATAAAAGACAAAAGAACTGAGTAGGTTTATCCTCCCCTACCCACCTGAAGACGGAGACAGATCCAGTCTCCGAAACGTCGTGGTCTTTTGTCTTTTACATACCAGATGATGGATGAAGTCCAAAACAAGCCAAAAGAAGTACAGTATACACCATCGTCAGAATCGTTTCAAGTCTTATCTTGAACTCCCATGCTCACCACATAAACTTAAGCAGCTAAAGAGTTTCGGGCCCCACCCATCTGATCTTGTCAAGTAGGTTCGATTTTCATTACTGGGGCCCATTATTGTGCCTGAGGTTTCTCGTTGTCTTCCTAGGTTCCTTCAGAGTTTTTTTTTTTCAAAATCGGCCACGACAGCCTCCTGAAAAGCCTTACTTTCTGACTGTCCATAGTTGTATTGCAATTACTTTGGACACTGTAAAATACACGCTGTCGCATTATTATATGCTGTACTTTAGAGAACGGTTTCTGGACATCAGAACAAGTCAAGAAGTTCACATGAATGTGTACTCTAAAGAGTCTTCCTCAAAAATATATAATCATTACAAAATGTCGGCTCTTGCCGTCAGATTCTGATAAAAGCAGATATCCCGAGAGCATTTTGTCTGTGTCGCGTGGTGATCGTAGAGATTCATTTCACTCCAACTTCTTCTTGACGTTTACAGTACCCGACCGTCTTTACTACGAACACATAATACTCTTATGGGGACAAACAGTGATACATATTACAATGCGAGTCAATCTCAAGCGATCTAAACTTGCGGAAGCACGATTCATACCGCTTCAGCATGGAAAGTGGTGGCCATGCTTCCTGCTCTTTGAAAGTGCCGCTGAAATGCTGCAAATGCTATTGGAGGTACCTCAATTAGAGTGGACCATGTCTTCATATAAGATCTAAAAGTTTGTGATGATGGTAAATTGTTACAATTAATATGTTGCTGGACATTATCCATCATCTTGTCTGTTCTCAAAAAACCGTCTAGTTTCTATTAAAAACACAACGTTTCGGGAACTGGAATCTGTCCCCGTCTTCAGGTAAAACCAACTCATTTGGGTCCAATACAATACAATAGTACCACACGATGCAACTGCGAGACATGAATTCTCTCAATGAATTTTGCGACACTCAACAGAACATCCCACATTTAGAGTAAATGTTTCATTCAGGTACGAGCCGTTCTTCACTAGGACTGGGATCACCAGAATTCACAATGAACATGTGTGGTCACATGAAAATGCTCATACGATCTGATCTCATCATCAGCAACGGCAGTTTTACATTACTTTTGGACTGGAATTATAGTTCACTACCTTAGGGACTCTCAGATTTTAAACTGTACGAGTTAATGGCCACAATTACCTTAATTTCCTTCAAACACATTTAACTGAGCTGCTAGAAGATGTGTCCCTCTGTCCGCTAAAGTTGGCACCAACTTCGCCGGGAAGCGGCGGTCCCTCGGTCGGTATAGTTCGCTTGCGGACTACACGCCACGGAGTGTTTTTTTTTGTTTGCTCTTACACGAAATTGAAAATGAAGAGATTATTAAAGGCTCTTTTATTTGCCTTTATCATCATCACGACCATTTAAACTTAAGAAGTGTATATGGTTTATCGATGGAAATTGAAAGTAGAAGCTATAACGTTTTATGGAAGGCCCTCAGAGTACTTATTCGTATGAAGGTTTTGTACCTATTTTCAGCTCCTGAAGCAGTCGTGTAAAATATGGCGTATGTTAATGAGACACCTGTGTACGAGGAAGCGTGCTTCAATTGCGTAAAAGTCTTTGGGAAATTTTAAGCTTTTTAAGGTCTGTGAAATGTAGAGACTTTCTTTGTGGTAACCTGCCTGTTTTAATAGTGAAACACATGTTGTTTATGGTAGAACTTTGTTTCTTTATTGTAAGCTGTTTGGTACCTTTGACTGCAGTGCCTGACGGGAAGCCTACGATCACCACTGCCCAGAATACCAGCGCCACGTCCCTTCACATCAGCTGGCGACCTCCTCACCATGACACCATTCACGGAGAGTTCTTGGGCTACCGCATAGAGTACAGACCCCGTGACCGTGGACCGGAAGCCATCAAGGAGATATACATCCGCGACTCGAACGTAGACGTGAGTACCAATACCGAACACATGCTTTTACGGCCGAAACATGTAGCTGATAAAGAAAATGTGTAATTCATATTTTGTATTGTGTTGTGTCAACGGAGCTATCTATTTATGGCTCTACAGCCCTTGTGGACCTTGGCCGCTTTTCAATTTCTTTATCTATACGCAATAGGTAGGTCTCCTTGGACGGGGAATGAGGCCGTCGCAAGGCCGCTACCTACACACAAAACAGCACAAACACAGAGACACCGATGTCTCGAGTGGAATTCGAACCCACGATCCCAGTGTTTGAGCGAGGGAGGAGAGTTCATGCCTTAGATCGCGCGGCCACTGTGGTCGATCCATCCAAGTACTAACCATGCCCAATGCTGCTTACCTTCGGTGTTCGGACAAGAACCAATGTTTTCAACATGGTATAGCCGTTGGCGTCTACAGATGTACCCATAGTTAAATAACTGTCGGTGTTGGATTAGTGGTTGCCAGCTTGTGGTTTGCGAACTAAGACGAACCGCAACAAAATTGCTTCACATGTTTTAACAAGTTGTTGGTTCAAATAGAGTTCGGTTCCTATTCTCTTTGTTGATGCACAATTGGGAGACTCTTTGTTTCCTCAATTCTGTACCTTGCAAATTCTTCTGTCTATATAAACCTTTGTAGATATGAGTGGGAGATATGAAATTGCGCAATTTTGTGTTGTTATAGCAAAAAAATGTCGAGGTGAATGTTGCATCAACGTAAGTGACGTAGTTGTTCACGAAAGGTCTTTTTATCTAGTGTTTTTTGTCTGTTCTACGTGCTGATAATATTTTGGTGTGGATGTGTGAATATCGGAAGTTAACATGGAAAGTGTCTTGGTTTATGACAATTTCGTAGGAAGATGCCCTTATAAAACAATTCAGTAAAATCGTGTCGAGAGATTTCATACGAAACCAACAGTTTAGCCCAATGGGCCTGTGTAGGTACCACGACGGCGGCATACCCACACTCGTGCTTGAATTCGCATNATAATAATAATAATTAATAATAAATATTTTCATCTGCATTTATTTCTGCTTCACTTTTGTCCTTCCTTACTGACCTTTCCATTTCTCTCTGTGTTTAATGATATGTATTCACACATCTGTCATTGCTCTTTGTATCCTCATGCTCTCCTGATATCTTTTCCTGCGTCGATAATCCTAAGTATTTTGTACAGACTCCCATCCCTCCAAATTTGTGTTCCTTCACATCACAGTGTGTGGTTAAAATCTTGCTCTTAGCAACATATGAAACATATGCTCTGTTCATTCAATTTCCTGAACATTCTTAGTCTCCAAACACATGTTTTCCATCATGATGTTCTCCTCTGGGCTTACCTCAAGTATATAGTGTTGTATATACTCATGAACATGTATATAATTTTACCGTCAACGCAACAATACTTTAATATTTATTTCTATAGCACGCAATATATGTTTCGACCTCAAGGGGTATCTTCAGGTGCTGCAAGTTCTCACATACTATTACTGAACTGGAACGCTAATATTCCCATTTGTCAAAATTGTTCGTAAAAATTAGTTTCTATTCGATTCACAAGCTAGACAAAACTTATACTAGACTTAGGTTAAAACTAACAATAAAATACAATACAACACGAATAAAACTCAACCTAAATATATTCGTACCTACTCCCACTGATTCCTTAAACTATTATATACAATGTCCGTGAATTGCTTTCTCTCATCGTAACTTCCATGTTTCTCATATTAGCACATTTGTACTTGTTCCCATCCTATCACTATTTCTTCCATTTTTCCATATATCCCTCACTCCCAGCTTTTTACTGCCTGTCTATTTCCGTTTCCTCCTCATTCCCTGTGGTGGGTTCCCTAAAGAATTTTACGTATCTGTTTCTCACAATCTTAGCTCTTGTTTCTTCACTCAGTCGGATGTATCCCCCTTCACGCAGACACCAGCCCTCGCACATGTCATTGGTAACCCCCCCCCACGGCGCTGTTTTACAGAATAACTAATGCACTTCCACTACACCAATCCATCTTCCAGTCCCCCAAATTTCAACCCCTGTTATCATTGTTGACTCTATTAGCGAAGTAAATAATTGTTCTAGTATGCTGATCTCTATATTTCGCGCCTTTGCTAAACATCCATAGATACTATCCGTTGTTAACTCCCCCATAATGGCTACCTCTTTCGTCTCCTTTCCATTTTTGCCTCTAATATCCAAGATTACGCTTAAATATTTCATTTAATTTGTCATATCTTCTTCCTCTCTTCCCTTCCTCCATTTTCCAGTCGTAGGTAAATTTATTCCCTTCTTAAACACTACTATCAAACATTAGGAACCTCCAATCTGTCTACCTATGGTCCTACAGTTATTTTGTTGGAACTTTTCCGCTTTTACAGTTTCTTAATCGTATACACAGTCGGTAGTACTCCTTGGACGGAGGATCAACACGTTGCAAGGCCGCTGCCTGCACACAGAACAACACAAATACAGAATAAATTGAGACAGATATCCATGGCTTGAGTGGGATTCGAACCTACGACTCCAGCGTTCGAGCAAGCGAAGATAGTTTATGCCTTAGACCACGCCGCCACTATGATCAGCCAGATAAGCCATCAGCCACACATGTAGATTTACATTATTTACTTTTATGCATTTCCTTAATGCTCTTTATGAAAATAGCATGTAAATATGTCGTCCTTAGTTTTTAAATACACCAGCCATAACAGACATCCAAGGAGCCGGGATAGCTCATTCGGTTTTGCGACGGACTACAGGTTGGAGGCCTGGGAGTTCGATCCTCCGCAAGGGCAAGAGATTTTTCTTTGCTCCATATCGTCAGGATCGTCTCTGGGGCCCACCCAGTCTCCTATGCAGTGGGTACCCGGGTGGTGACGCTGACCACCCACTTCCATCCAGTGCCGAAGTCAAGAAAGGTGGAGCTGTACCTCCACTCCGCATATGTCTTCATGGCATAGTGCTTAATTAATTATGAACAGTAAAATTTAACCTTTAATATTCGACATGCTCTTAGTATACATTAAGAGAAGTACACCAAAACAGAGGCACCAGTATTGGTTTTGCATTCGTGCAGTGCAATTCAAGTGGTCATTCTGGGATGAGATATCCACGTAGCAGGATCCAGATTTCTTTCGTTTGTGCCACTGTTTATCTCTTTCTGTGGCAGTCCCAAAGCACCGTTGTAGGATATAGACTCAGGATATTCCAAGATTTGGTCCGTAATTCAGCAACAGCTTGTAGGATCTGCAAGAGATACTCTGTTTTATATGACATGACGACAAGAGGGACTGAACACAGCACTTCACATAAACGTTAAGAGTCTGGAAGCAGTTCTAGCAGTAAAGTTTCCCGACTCGTGCGAAAACAATGAAAAATACTAGTAAACTAACTGTTTCTATTCAAATTAATCTCCGCCTACTTCAATGCATGTGTTGAATCGTTTAAGAAATTTTTGTAAACAGCCGGAAAAGGCCTCTAAATGAACGGCGTTCAATTTGGCTGTCACGTTTCTCTTAATGTCTTCAGCATCATGAAACCTCTTTTTAGGAAAGAGGGAATTCAGTCAGGATTGTCCTGACACGTGTGGATGAAGCCATGGGTTGAGTTTCCTCTGCTTCTTCTCATCCGTGAGTCTGTGTGGGACGAACTTTGGGCAGATCTGCCTTCTTCTATAGATCTTCTTGGAGGATTTGAGGAATCATCTCCTTATTTATGTTTAATTCATCATCCACCGTCATTCTGAGAGCCCATCGACGATCTAGTTTCGGAATTTCAAGGACATTTGCGACTGATACAACTTAAGGCTTTATCACCATAGAAAGTTTGCAACATTTCATAAGTTTCTGTTTGCATTTTACCTAGTTTTAAAACAAATTTTTATATTCACTCGCTGCTCTGTGGCTAAAATAGTGACAACAGTTGAAACACACAACTAACTCAAAGAGCTGATACTCATGTAGTGTTAGTTGATGGATTTGCTGACCCCTGCCAATTGTTGGTAAGATGTAGAACTACACTTAGAAGGCAGTAGTTCGTTTCACGGCCATGTAATGCTACAGCACCAGGTCGGGAACTATATTGCCGACGACATAGTCGGATTCGTGTTTTGTGAAACGGGCTGCTTCTAACGACCGGATATCTGGCTGTGTAGTTGCCAGTGGATGGAACTGATAGTCCCATGTTTATAACAATGTTCCGTGGTCAGTATCTAGACAGCAACGTTTGACTGTCAGGATTATCTATATCTCTTACGTGTTATTTTCCCACTGCCCCAGATTGTCTGTTGAAGCTCACGTGGCTTGTCCATAACGCCGCTCATATACCAAACCGACATGCATATCTGTCAGTTGCTCTCTTGCATCACACAGTGACGAACTCGCTGATGAGATTGATCTCAGTGATAGGTTTTGGCATATGTAACGGTCGGCTGATTAATCTGCTTATATATTTGTTCATTGTACATTCTATCCTAAAAATTAGTTTATCATCGTAAAATGACCGAATCGCTGACTCGCTGACTCGCTGCTGCATCAGCAGTGTAAGGACTAACGTAATTGTGATGACGTTATCAAGGCCGATCACAGTGGCCGAGCGGTCTAAGGCATGAATTGCCGTCTCCAGTTCGAACACAGGAATTGTAGGTTAGAATCCCACTCAGGGCATGGATGTGTATCTGCAGCTGGGGCGAGCTTATCCCCCGTCCAAGGAGTAATATCCGTAATTTCAGATTCACTCTGAATGGGAACATGTCAAATGGCCTAATCCGTCATAGGAAGGTGAATATTTTATGAAATACTAATCGTTATGCAAAGTGAAGTGATTATTGCATGGCATGCCAATTCAAGGGCATACCCTGTATCCTTACTGGCAGTAGTGGCGTCTTGTTCCTGCAATATTCCCGTATTTTTATATCATGACTCACAAGTGTTTCTTCATGAATCCTCAAGAGAAGACCGTTACGTGTTGCAAAGTTACATTT